TCCCGCTCCGACAGCGGAAGCTTGGCCTGCTCTTCGGGATCCTTCATCAGCTTTGGCAGCTTCAGGTTCTGTCTAGCCCATCCAGACGTGTAATTCATAGCCTTCAACGCCCGGGATAGCCGCCGACACAGGAGCCTTTGCATGCGCTCCTGGCCCAGGTTGTAATAAACGGACATCTCCCGGCTGAAATACTCCCGGCCGGCAGGGGAGTTCATCCCCCAATTCTCAAGCCTGGCGGCCACCACTTCGTAGCACCAGGGGAGCCTCTCATCGGCCTTCCACCCCTCGGCCAAGAACTTCTCGACGGCCTCATCGGCAGCCTTCACGACGGCGGCCTCGGCCTCAGCCTTCGCCTTGGCGGCCTCCTCGCTCCGGCGCTTCTCGGCCTCAAGCGCCCTGTGGGACTCCGCGAGCTCCCTTTTGCTCTCTTCGAGTTTGACCAGGGCATCGTCCCTGGCCGCGACGGCTTCATCAGCTTTGGCCTGCAACGCCTTGGCATCCTCCCGGAGCCGGTCAAGGCAAGCTACCGCCTCGTCGGCCGAGGCAGCCTTCTGCTCCAGAGCTTGCAGGCGGGCTATCTCCCAGTACTGCCTCTTGTGGCTTTCCATAAGCATGAAGGCACTCTGCAGAAGAAAAACAAAGGTCAGGCAAAAAACTCTACATAGACGAAGAGAGACAAAAATATAAGGACAATCACTTACTTGGACGAGGAGATCCATGCCGCCCTCATAAATCTTCGGGTCCTCGAGCTTCTTCAAATGAGCCCGATCTTTGGCCGGCATGGCCTTGGCCAGGACGACGTGGCCGGGGACGAGCTCATTAAACACGCCCCCGCCGACGGGGTACTCTATCACTTTCTGATAGGTGGCACCGGCAATCTCCTTGCCGGCCCTCTGCGTCCGTGGTTCCTGGACGAGAGGAAGCGCTGGGGCGGCATCATCAGCAACAGTAAGGTCCACGACGGGACCACCATCGCCCACGCTGGGGACAGTAAGCGTACCGGCCTCACTAGCCGGAGAAGGGGAAGGAGCCCTCTTCGTCTTCTTAGAGACGCTCACGCCGGCCTCGGTCAACTTTTTCTGGCCGTCAGTGGCCGATCTCTTTTTCTTGGACGGGGCAGGCTTTGGGGCCGCGTCAGCAGTAGCCCCGCTCCCACCAGCAGCGGCACGTCGGGCCGCCTCGGCCGCCTTAGCAGCCAGCTCTTTGGCCGCCTTGGCCTTAGCAACGGCCATTATGGAACGCCGGTCCATGACAAAGTCTACAAAGGAAAAACAAACAGATTAGTAAGGCAAAGGACAAAACGTAAAGACAGAAAGCCGAAGAAAAATTACCATCGGCCTCAGCAGGAATGCCCAAATCCGGGCCATCGGCCTCCTCAAATGTGGTGGTCATCCTCGGCCAGAGTTGGAGGTCATCCTCCTTATCTCCATACAAGTGATATCTGAAGAAGCCGAGGGCCGTCATCTTGTATTCAGTGACGTAATCTTTCACGCTCCTCGGCCCCCCTTCCAGGAAAGCCTCCACCTGAGCGTCCAAAATAGAGCTCTTCGGCGGGTCATGAAGATTGAACCTCCCGGTATGGCCGAGGGAGGGGAACTCGGTGCCACTCTCACCAATGGACACAAACACGAACTTGCTCTTCCACCCATGAATGGACGTAGGCAAATCCGTGAAGCTCCTCTTCCTCGGCAGCTGTTGAAGAGTAGCATAGGCCGCACAGTTCTTGTGGCTTCCTCGGCCGATCTGGTACAAGTTCATGAATAAGGCCGTGGTCGGCCTGTAGTCCAACTCCTCACACCGAAGCAAGAAGCCCACTATCAAGGAATAACTGTTCGGCGTCAGCAAGGCCGGAGGAAGCCCCACCATGTCCAGATACTCAGTGACGAAAGGGTGAAGGGGGAACCTCAACCCCTTAGCAAAACTCATCGGGTATACTCCGAAGTATCCCGGTGGCGGAAGTAGAACATGGTCCGTCGGCCTGGGTGCCCTAACCCGCCCGAACGGCCCCACGTACATCTGGGCGACAAGATAGTCGGCCGCACTGCTCTCCGGCTTGATCAGGAATATGTTGGTGAGGTCCAAGTAGGAGAGGCCCGGCCCATTCTTCGGCCTCCTCACCCTCTTCGGCTTAGCGGCGCCCTTCACGGCAGATACCGGCCTCGGGCACGGAACGGCAACAGAAGTGGACGCCCCGTCCACCGCTCGGGACGCGCCTACGTCCTCACCCTCTGAAGAGGAGGCGGACTCCTCGTCCTCGCCTTCCTCGTCCATCAGCTCTCCGGATTTGTAGGGGCTCAAACGCTCTATCTCCTCTTCAAACTCCTCGAGCACCTCGTAGTCAAGGGACCTCGTGGAGGGCTGGTCGTCGTAGGGGTAGTAGTCCTCGTTCAAGCTCTTCATTACTACTACTACAGACTTAAGGAGAACAACTTACGATCTAAAGGTGTTTAAACGCCTAACACTAGATCAACTACTTACGGAGCAAAATATGAAAAGTGAGGAAGATCGTGATGAACACTAACCTCAAACAACGACGAACACGAAGAACAGGCTTGGGAGTTTATCTCTCTAGAAAATCGGCCAGCACTTCGACAAATTCAGAATGCAAATGTGACTCTTCGTCGGAGGGGACGGGGTATTTATAGACCCCCCCACCAACGGTCACTACACGTGGCACTCTCCCAATGGCCACATCAACGGCCACCAATGGGAGGCCACCACGACACCAACGGGCCAGGCCCAAGCCACATCAACGGACCACTGGCAAATCAGACTCTACGGCCTACACACGCTCAACGGCTTTACAACTGCCAGCAAGCGCCCACAACGTCCCACTTGCTCACCAATATCACAAATGCCAAACAATAAGAGGATGGCAACGGCCAGGAACGTAACGGCCACAGAACAAAGGGGACAAATAGCCCACAGCCTTCGGCTCCTCGTAACAACCCTTGATGATAACTCTCTACAAGCGATCTGTGCACAAGGGTTCTCCCACAGGGTTACCTAGGCCAGAAAATCGCCATGAGAGTTGGATTCAGGGGGACTACGGCGAGACCGCTTCGACCAGGGACTCAAGCAACTCCTTCACCCCTCACACTCTTCGGCCTGAAGCAGTGGGGGACTGGGGGACTACACCGGCCTCAACAAAACAAAAGAGAATGCAAACAAGGTAACCACAGAGCATGGCCACATCGGCCACGCATCACACTGCACCTCGTTGACCGAAGGTACACAACGTCATCTGCAACGGCCAACGGGCCACCAAAGGCAAGGACGCTCATCGTCCTTCGCCATCACTTAATCACGAGGGGCTCTTCGGCCAGAAACATGAAAGCTAATCAACGACGGCCGAAAGGAGTGCGCAAACACCCTCATCGGCCATCTAAAGGGAAAGCCGCCATCGTCCTCGAAGCAAGGACCAACTGCAGTGGCCTCATCGGCCCAAACATAAACTTCAACCACCAACGTCCAGGAAAGGGAAAGCGCGCCTTCAACGGCCACCATTGAAAGAAGGACACTCATCGTCCCAAAACAAATTAAGGAAACAACGCCTCCCCGCCCACAGCGAGGAGCAGGTAACGGCCAAAGCCCATAACAGGATCACCAAAATGGAAACAGCGCCGATACCGCAACGGCTAACAGCCTGGAAATGACCGCGTCGGCCAAAAGCAACAAAGCACAGAAATCTACTCTCCTTCACTTCGTCTACGTCTCAGCTTAGAGAGTGGGGGACTCCTGATGGAGTATATGGGTCTGAGCTCCAGGACCCACATACTCGGAGGAACAGAGCACAAGACAACAGAGTGGCGCCCTCGTCGGCCAAGACGCCCCCGTCGGCCGAAAAGGGGCCAACTCAGATTACGGTCCTGAGTCCAAGGAACCCGGGTGCCCTCGTCGGCCGCGCCCTCGTCGGCCGTGCCCTCGTCGGCCACGCCCTCGTCGGCCACAAAGACCTCCCAGAAACGGATTCTATACTTACTCATTTGTACAGCCCATTAGAGGCTTTGTATTCGGCCCAGTAGCGGTCCAGTTGTAAATGGGCCTCCCAAGCCCAAGGCTTGGGAGCCCAACCCTAATTTTCTCTATAAATACTCCCCTTGGGAGTAGTTATAGGGGGGACGAATTCATTCTATTGAAGCATATTATTGCACTTCTCTCTCTAGCTCTCACTTCTCTCTAGATATACTCTATCACATATAGAACTTTAATTGGGAAACTTCTTTATTTGACTGTTACCAGACCTGATATTGCTTATAGTGTTCAAGTACTTAGTCAGTTTCTTGCCTTTCCCATTGATATTCATATGAGTGCAGCTCACAGGATTCTTAGATACCTTAAAAATTCTCCAGGTAAAGGTCTTTTTTATTCTTCTGTTTCTGACTTTTCTATTAAAGGATACACAGATTCAGATTGGGCTGCTTGTATTGACACTAGAAGAAGTGTTTCTGGTTATGCTTTTTATCTTGGTAGTTCTTTAATTTCATGGAAATCTAAAAAACAATAGGTTATTAGTAGGTCTTCAACTGAAGCTGAATACAGAGTTGCTGCTAATGCAGTCTGTGAAGCACAATGATTATATTATATTCTTACTGATTTACACATTCAATCTGTTTTACCTATGACACTTTATACTGATAATAAATTTGCATATCATTTGGTTTATAATTCTGTTCAACACCAAAGAACTAAACATATTGAACTTGATTGTCATCTAATAAGAGAAAAAATAGCTGCTAGTTTGATTCGTTTGATTCATATTAAAAATCACTTTCAACTTGCAGATATTTATACAAAGCCACTTAGAAATCCTTTGTTTAGCCAATTTGCAGTCAAGATGAACATGCTGGACATCCATGCTCATCTTGAGGGGGTTTAACAAGACTGGTGATCTGTTATTTTGAATATCTTTTATTTTATTTGGGCCTTTATCTATTGGGCCTCATTTGTGTTAGTTTCTACTTAGTATATATAGCATAAACTTATTCTATTTTAGGTTAACCAATTCATTCAGCTATTTTCTTCTCTCCCGCCTACTCTCTGTAATCATCTTCTCTTCCGCATTCTCTCTGAAGTTTTCCAATTCGATTACTCATTCATCAGATTCTTGTATTCAATTGTTAACAAATGCGCACCTCCAACTTGAGATGAATCAATGCAGGAATCGACGACTTGGCGAGCAAATGGGATTCTCTTGTTATTGTGGTTGTAGATGAGATAAAGATCCAGCTTGAAGGCGGTCGCAGACCACATGAGATCTGGCGGCGACGTATCTGGAAGAAGCTTTGGCGTGGCACGGGGATGGTCATCTTCGACGCAGTGTAGAGTAGGGAACCGACCAGCTTTTTTTTCGGCTGGGCGCAAAGGCTACACATGGGCAGCCTGCTCCAGCCGGAAATTTTAACCTTATGCATTGTTCTTCCAGTAGCAGTAAGGCTTTTCCTATCAAAATTGAAAGCAAAACCCTTCAACTTGCTTTAGAATCTTCAAGTATGCGTTTAAGCCAAATGAATAATGGAGATTCTCAGAGTATTGTTTTAAAAACAGAGACTTTAAATTAGTTTTACAACTCTTTTATTCAAATTCATTCGGGGGCATCTTGGACTTACACAAGATATGAACAATCTAAAAAGCTTCTCCTATCTTTGAATGAAAACGGGTTTGGAAAATTTATTCGTTTAGTAGAAATGGACATTCAGGGCAGAACTATATCGATAATTCCCGAAGGTCAGCGAGGAGATGGATTTAGACGTTTTGGATCGGCCTTACATAACCAGAAGGAGCTGCTGGATAACCTTTTGAATGAACATATTGAAACAGAGATACATGGAGGTGCTCAGGGATCTGATTGCTTGTTCTTCTGAACCCATACCGTCCCAGGTTATAGGCTTTTGTTCTACTCCTACGAAAACTGACATGGATTGCCTGGAATCTGTCTCCTCCATGCTCTTTCGTGAAGACTTGCATTCCTTAGGCTACTATTCAAGAGAAGAGAATCTTAAGAGAATTTTGTTGGAGAGTGAGGACTGAGGAGTTTCATGCGAGTATGGTTAGAGCTACAAAAGAGCATGCAAAAGGGAGGTTAGTTTCACGAACACAATTGAACAATAGAGGCACCGGTACCTCACCAGCCATATCATACCAGGCAAATAATAAAAGACAATTTAAAAATATGAGTGGACTCCTAAAGTGGCTTCCTGGTATAGTGTGATTGGGCATGAATTGGTACCTCCTTTATTTTGCAATGTACCATAGAAGGACCCTTGAACAATTCAGGATTATAAAACAACCGGGGATAATAATATTGTTTTTCTTGAGGATAAATCAATTGGGGGCAATACTATTGTTTGTCAAGTCGGAGCCATAGCAATCAAAGAGGGGAAAGATTACATTTTAGAGAAATACAATGAAGATTATAGGGAATAGTACGGAAAAAGTACTTGTGGTTGAGCGCGTTTTCAGATAGGGTCATGTGTTTCATTATTTATCAAAGTGGTTCATGTGTTTGAATTTCGTTATCACAAGAGGGTCACGCCGTTAAAAACGCCTGAAAAAGTAACTCTGATTTTTAAAAGTGCCGGAAAAATTAAAAGAAAAATACCGGAAGGTGCGCCTCAATAGGACGACCGCTAGGCCATCTTTCTTTTTGGTTTTCAGCCACCCTTGTCACCGGAAAGTCCATCGTAAAAGTGATATTAGCGAAATCATTTTTAAAAAATAATTCAAACAGATCTGAAAAATCCAAAGGCAAAGGTGGTTTGGAGGTCATCTTGACGAGGCGCACCTTTCGGTATTTTTCTTTTAATTTTTCGGGCACTTTTGAAAATCGGAGTTACTTTTAACGGTCTTTTTCAGACACATGAACCTCTTTGATAAAGAATGAAACACATCACTCTATCTGAAAATGGGCTCAATCACAAGTACCTTTTTTGTACTTTTCCCAAGATTATATTATTGGGCCTGTCAATGTGGAAACTCCTCTCCAGTGTCTTTCTTCCCTTATCAAGATAATGTTATAGTTGAGGATGAGTCTCATTTTGAATGTGGTGATGCTTCAGATTCTTCGGGCGATGATTCAGATAGAGAACTTCTCAATCGCCTTGGTGATTGTAAGTGGAAGACAATATCTCATATTACAAGAAGTGCTCGTATTCAAGAGAAAATGAAGAGTTTTCTAGACGAGGCTTTATGGTTATCGGGCTTAATCGGGCAACCAAATATTCCAAAAGATTTGTAATTTGTGTGAGGTTATTGGGAATTGAAGAAGAAAGGTTTGAGTGTATTTGATGAGTTGCTATATACATTTGGGGTTTGTTTGAGAGGTTTGTTGAAGACAATTTCTCCTTCGGACATTCGTTGTGAATTGTTACTCTTATTAGATTTTGCTTTCATTAGCTTTGTTCTCCTTCAATTTTCTTTTTCTTTAGGATTCCTTCCTTAATTAGCGATTGTAACTTTTCATTGAGAATTTTAATAAAAGTCTTTTTTTCGCGAAAAAAAAAGAATAACATTATGTATTTGATATTGTACAACAAGTAGTTTCTAGGCCCAGTAACTTAGTAACTGAGGCTGGCCCATTTAGGATATGAGTATAATAAGAGTAGAAAGGAGGAAAGGAGGGGTAGGTAGAATTTTGGATTGGGACTTGGGAGTGCTGAGACTACTCGAAATGTCTCAATCGTATCTTTCTCTCTTCAATTTTCATCAATTTTCATTTTAATCTACTTCATTTTACCGTCAAATTATGGGGTACCTATCATTGGGATCAGAGAAGTCGACCTAAGGAGTCGTTGATCAACATTCACACTATAAACAATTGGAGCAGCACAGAAAACAGAAAGTGGAGAAGCACGAACATGGAGAACATAAGGTGGTCACCTCTACTTTGCACGTGAACATGGAGAGGTGCGTGAACAAGGATGAAGCGGTTGGTCAAGTTGTTTCCTACCTCCCACCTTGAGTATTGTCAAAAGGGGGAGTGATGACATGGACCTAAACAATACTAATAAGAATAATAATATTAAGTATTCGATGTTGTACAATAAATGGTTTCTAGGCCCAATAATTAGCAACTAAGGCAGGCCCATTTAGGAGATGAGTATAATAAGAGCAGAAAGGGGAAAAGAGGGGTACGCAGAAATAGGCTTAGACTCAGCCAGGCCTGACAAGTTTTTTTTGTTTATTGAGGCCCAGAACCGGCCCAGGTAGCTACCGGGTACGGGTTGGGCCGGGCTACCCGGCCGGGTAGCGGGTCGGGTTTGGGCCGGGTACGAGTTATTTTTTTGTTTACAAATTAATTCAAGAATTGTTGGATATAAAAAATTTAAAGTATATTTATTTTAAATATGTAGTACAATTGAGAATTGAGAAAATATTTAAAACATGAAATACATTTTCTAATAAATAATAATCAATCGGAATCTCTACCATCTTCGGTTATTTCCTCCATAAAGTAGCGGGTGAGGGTGATGCACACTTCTTGAGTTCTACGTTGGGCCTTCAATCAATCGTGGAAGCAAATAAGCGTCTCAAGAGAATTTGCGCTCAATCTCGTTCTATAATCGATTAGCACATTGCCGGTCGCACTAAATTCTTGTTCCACGTCAACTGTTGATACGGGCATTGCTGGCACTTGCTTAGCCAACTTTGATAAAACCGAGAACGTTCTTTCTTTTTCCTTCCACCACTTTAGAACGTCAAAGTCATCCCCTTCTTCATAATCAACAAGAATTTTTAGATACATAGAAAGCTCGTTAATCAAGCTTTGTTCATTAACGGGAGTTGATTTACTTTTTTCATAAGATTGCCAAATGTAGATTTAAAAATTGATTTTCTTTTAGATGAAGATGTTCGTGTCGGGGGAGGGGGTGTATTACCATATTGTGCATGAAACTCATTAAATAATTGATATAATAAATTACTAACCTCTTGGTATTCTTGTTTAGGGTCTATGAGTTTATCCTCGTACATAGGACATGGACAAAAAAAAGAAGCATAATAGTGATCTAAACATTGCCCCAAAGAATCATGTCTATAACGAGGATCAAGAATAAATGCAATACCATATATATGCGGAATATGTGAATAACATTTTAAAAACTTCTCTTTCATGAAAGAACAAAAACAACTAACTAAAGCAGCATCGGAAAATTCACAAAAAGCTCCGACGAGAGTAACAGCTTCAACAAAAAATTTGTTTGTGGTATGTGTATAAACATGACTAAAAGTTTGAGTTGCATTATTAAAATATACCAAAACATTTACAATTTTTTCTATAGTGTCGATGTCGGCCGGGTTTATAATATAGTTAGCAAAATCTTTTAAAAAAGCGGAAAAATGATCTTTAAATCTAATAAGTACAGCAATTAATTTATAAGTACTATTCCAACGAATAGACAAATCTTTAGGAAAAGCACAATATTTGACACGTCTTTCCCTCAAATATTTACGCCATTGCTCCTTAAGTTGACCACTATCCCAAATAAGTCTAATCCCCATTCACTACCTCCATAGCCTCTCCCAATGCGGCTAGCCCGTCTTTTACACATAAATTTAGAATATGACATGCACAACACCGATGAAAAAATCTACCCATCAAAGTAGAAAAACCACACAAATCACGCAATCTAGGTGATGGAGTATATGGCCCGGGAACCCCCGGCCCACAGACTCCTACTACTCCAGCGAAGGCCCAACAGGCCCAGAAGGCCCAACAGGCCCAGATCACAGCGCCCAGAGTACCAAGCAGCCCGCACTACGCGTCAGGGGTGCCTTCGGCCCCCTGGCCGAAGGCTCTAAACTCTCACAGAACGGGCTTCTCAAGCAAATTAAGAAACTGGGAGAAAACGGCGAAAACAGTAGCCCTCGGCACTGTGAGCCCTCGGCACCAGGGTGCCATCGGTTGGAGGAGCCCTCGGCTACTGCTCCATAGCCGAAGGCATCTCACTCGACAAGATATCCGCCTCACATGCGTACAGATCACCGTACCCTGCACAGACGTCCCATCCAACAGCCGCATTAAATGCGGCCACATGCGGCTGCCAGCGCCAACCAGTTGAGGTGACCCCTCGGCCAATGGGTGCTTGACACGTGTCCCTGTCCGGCATTTATTGCTACTATAAATAGCACCCCATTTCCCCATTTGTAACCACGACATTCATACTGAACACACTCTCTCTCTACATTTACCTACTCGCTCTGACTTCTCTCTAAGTTATTCCCCGCAATAACCCTTCGGATATATACCCCCGGGTAGACTATCCATCATTTGGTGCTCTCGTTGAGAGGTCGAACAATCAAGTAAGAAACCCTCCCCCTCGACCAAACACAAAACACTAGCCCTCTATCAAAATGGTGAGGACAACACGTGCCAACTCAAAGAACATAGAAGACAAGAACCTGGCCCTCGGCGACGTCAACGCCCCCGAAGCCTCTCACAGGGCTCCCGAGGGCGGTGTCATCGCTGGGCTGGAACAGGTGGCTGTCGACCTACGCCTTCAGATCCAACAAAATGCCCCCGATGCCCGCCTCGGCATCGAGGCCAAGAAGAAAAACCGGAGCGATGACCAAGTCAGCCCTCCGGTTCTCACCATCGACGTGCAATCGGCGCTCTCCGCCTTCATCCAAACGCTTACTCAGAACCCGGGTGCCTTCGGCACCCTGGCTCCGGCTCACCCCCAGGTTGGGGAAAACATCATACTTCCCCCTCCGCCACACCCCTTCGGAAATCCCACCCCTCGGGTAAGGAACGACGAAGGGGTAGTGGCCCAGGATACGTCCTCCCAGGAAGTACAGTCCCGGGACCGCCACAATGACAACAGGGAGAGGCCCCGCACTTCCGCCCTCAACCGGCTCGGAGGAGGGCCAGACCGCCGAGGGGTCCAAGACCGCCTCGGAGGAAAGGCACTCCAAAGGCCCCAGGAAAGTGGGGGGTCTGTCTCAAGGGCAGACGAGGAGCGTCCCCCTCGGGACAAAGGCAAGGCACCCCTTCATGCCGATGACGCTCGCCACCAGATCAACCAGGCCCACTCGGCCCGGGTTCGTTCGCAGGGGGTGGAGACCCTCCCGAAGGATCCCCGGGACGAGATTATAGCGGCCCTCCAACGCCGGCTTGACGAAATGGAGTCCAACAAAGCTCACGCCACCACCTCCACCCCTCACTCAGACCTCAAATACGAGGCCATGATGGCCAAAATGGAGGAATTACAGAAGAAGGTGGCCGAGGGCTCCGGGGAACCCGTCATCCAGCTCCGGACTCGGACGCCATTTACCCCAAGGGTATTGGCGGCCCGGATCCCGGAGAAATACCGAGGGCAACACATACAGCCCTACAACGGGAAAACGGACCCCCAGGAACACTACAGCAAATACCAGAACAACATGATGATGGTGAGGGCGTCAGACGAATATTTGTGTCGTTGGTTCCTCTCCACCTTAGAGGGGCCGGCATACGAATGGTTCAACAGACTGCCCGAGGGCTGCATTGATTCATGGCAAGAACTCGCCCAGCGATTCTTGACACAATTTGCCGGGAGGCGTCGCACAAGGAAGCACTTCTCCCACCTCCTAACAATACGCCAGAAGAGGGATGAGACCCTTCGGGATTTCCTAGAGCGTTGGAGGACGGAGGCCGACAATGTCGACGGTGCTGATGACGGGACCCTTGGCCCTCCTACAAACCGTCCTCCGCACCGGCAACTTTTCAAGAGGCCTCATCATTGAACCCCCCCGCGACTACATAAGGGCTTTGCAGCGGGGGGACCGATATGCTGAGGCCGAGGAGGTGGAGAAGTATCACCAGCATCCGGACCAGCAGTCCCCGAGGGCTGACAACAAGCATAACCGAGGGTCGGGGGCTCCTCCTAACCATCCCAAGGCTTCAGGACCCTCTGATGACCGCCCTCGGCAAGGCCAAGCCAAGCCCGGGGGAGGTTATAAGAGCAACCCTAAGACTTGGGCACAGCCCATTCTCCTGGACCGCCCTCGGACACCATTGACGCACCCCGTCAGCATCATCCTCGATTTTGCCGAGGAGAGGGGCCTCGTTGAGCGCGATTCTCGCGCACCCCCGGAGGTACATGCTATCAACCCTCAGTTCCCCTACTGTCGTTTCCATCGGCACCAGGGGCACAGAACCGATGACTGCCATCAACTAAAAACGGCCATCGAGAGATTAATACAGGCGGGGCACTTGTCCCAATTTGTCCAGAGCCCTCGGCAGGAGGGACCTTCTCATCAGGGACCTCCCCGAGGGCACCATATGAAGGTAAACGCCTGGGTAAATCCGAACACCATCCCCCTCGGCAAGAAGAGGGAGATCGAAAACTTGGAAGAAGAGGAGGAGGAGTACCCCCACTACCAGGAGAAGAAACGCCACATCCTCATGATCACCGGTGGCAATACAGGGGGCGATTCCACCAGCCAGCGAAAGAAGTGGGCTCAATCGCTTTACGTAGGGGAAGTCACTCATATGCCCCCGGTAAAGCGACTGAGGGAG